TGTACATACACTGTTTTTGGAATGAGAACATCAAATCGGGCATGTTAAAAAATGTTTAATCCTTAATTATTACTGCTATATACTGCAATATCTGGAAAGTTAGCTGTGTTAGATGTTCAGTTTATTGTTCTAAAAAGATATAATAATATTGTATAATATTGTATTTAATATTGTATTATTAAGTTTGGATCAAATTAGATAGATAGGGAAGTCTTGGTAATCGATGTTTACGATTATATGATACCCGATACTCTTGCTGCATACATTTATGATTCACGGTATGATTTTTTAATTTTATATTTTGAAAATTTCTTCCATGAAGATCAATTACAATTGTATTATAATATTTCTCTTTTAGAAATTAAAATACAATTTCAAACCTTTATTATTCTTCTCAGCCCGGATTAGATTACGTTTTAGATCGCTACTATCTTTGTGAAATATTTTCAAAGCTCTTAATAGTTTTTTATTTAAGAGGACGGTTATTACGAATATAAATATATTTTGACATTTTATTTGCTCACTTTATCCAAGTTCAATACATAAGAGTCTATAATGTAATCTAAGGGGTTTCACGTATTCCAAGCTCTCCCTGATAAGGATAAAGTATAAACTTATTTTGATGTAAGGTTTGTTTTTAAGATAATTGAAAAAAAGTATTACAATTTTAATAACGTTGAAATTTACAAAATATTTAATTTTTAATACTTTAAGAGTTTTAAAGTAAATTTAGCAGGGACAGTAATCATTATGAGTTTCATTTTAAAAATCACAAAATAATCATAATTTTCTGAGCGAAAAAAAAAAATCAGAAATAATCATTATTCATTATTCTATGATCGAAAAATAAAAATCATGAATAATCATTATTTTTAATTATTATTATAATTATAATTATTATTTATTGATTTTTTTCGCTCAAAAATGTCACTCAATTCATGATTTCTCGCTAGGTATTAGTTTTTTGTAAATATGACTGCATATCTCATTAGACAACATATACAGGTACCATTTAGTACCATGATTTTTTTTTAATAACAGCCTTCCGTACCATCAAAAATTGGGAAAAACTGAACATGAAGATTTTTTACATTGAAAGATACTTTATCCTAAAGCTTCAGATTTTGATTTTTCAATTAAAGTAGCATATTCGGCAAGGACTCGTTTTGAGGATTACACATTTGGATAATTTCCAAGTTAAAAACAAGTCTCTTTAAAAGCTCGGTTCAGAAAATCAGTCTGAATTTAATTTAGACTTAGGCCCTTTTCAATCAAATTAAAATATTTTCAGAATTACAAAATATTACTAATTAAGTTTTCGTGGTAAGCAAAAATTGCATAATGCGACGGATAATAACGCTGATCCATCGAAAAGAAAAAGCAGAAAGATCAGAGCCACAGGAGGGGGGCACACACTCATCTTGGCATCCCAACTTCTTTGAGTCGTCCCTGTCTTCGTCGTTCCAGCCATTCCATCGCGGAATTTCACAGCGAATCATGGAAATTTGTTCGACGGCCTGTCCTTCTTCCGCCCCCTCTCCATTCTGTGTTTGTTTGTTTGATTGGGATTTGGATTTGATTTGATTTTGCCAGCATAGCAGTTCTGTGTTAGCTTCTCCTCCGGCGTTCTTCACTCTCTCCTGGCCAGGCCAGCTGCCCCACCACTCCTCCCACGACTCTGTTGGAGCTATTCAAATGTTCTGTGAGCACAGTTTCTTGACCCCGTCGTGTGACGCAGGCGCTGTCGCTCGCAATTGTAACTGCACATGCGCGCGCCTTGTTCCTCTGCCTGGCCTGGCTGCTTGGATCCCCCACAGATCCCCCTTCTCCCACCGCCCCCAATTGGCCGTTTGGCAATTTTGCAACTCCTTCGCCGATGTTGCTGTTGCTGTTGTTGTTCTTTCTGCTGCTATTGCGGGAAATGCGATTGACGGTAATTGGTTGACGTTTGTCTTATTTAAATTTGTTTTCTTTGGGATTTTTTCTACTCGACTGCCTCTGTCGCCGCCGCCGTTGCTGCTGGTTCTGCTACTCCCGCCTGCACGCTTTCATGATCCCTGTATACTCTACCCAATGGGAGGTCATATGTGTTATACCAATTCCATTAAGAATAAGGCTTGTAAAAATAAATATTACTCATACGACCTGTATGACAATATCTTTTTGAAATTCATTTTTTATAAAACAAATATATTAAATTTAAACAAAAAATTTAGATTTATTTAATAAAATATTAAAAATACATATTAATGTTATATTTTATTAATTACCAATATTGGCAGCCCTGTGCGTAAGGGAAGAAAGTTCAGACCTACAGGGTGTTTAAAATTCGACCTATTGCCCACATTTCCATCTCTATTTTTCTTTTCCTTTATGGACTTTTCTCAAGCTGTTCCTACTCCACCTCCTACTCCCCAACCATGCCCCATCTGCCCCAATCCCTGCCACTTATAGTCCGTTCTATTCCATGGCGCGCGGCGTGCAACTTTAATTGAAATGAAATGAGTTTCGTCGATTTGTGTTCTAGGAATTTGTTTTTTGATTGTTTTCTTGTAAATTTGAATGATTATCGAGCCAGTTGCAGCAGTTGCAGTTGCTTGTGCCGCATTTGTTGCAGCAGTTGCGCAATTGCAGCAGACGAGCAGCAAAAGCAGAAAAAAAGGCAAAATAAACAAGCCGACGAGCGGAGCGTAATTGCAGATCACATGGATCAAAGACCTTAGCTTTCAGGATTTGCGTCTGTCTGTGGGTTAGTGTGTGTGTACAAGGGAAGTTTGCATTTTTCAGCTCCTCCTCCTCTGCCTCTTGCCCTGCTCCCCCCCGTCTTTTCTGATCGATAGCCAGGTAATTGAGCTGCGAGAACTTTTAATTGTGTGTTTGTGTCGCGGAAGCGTTTTTCAAACTGGGCCAGAATTTCCAAAGCAAAGCCAATTTGTTACCGCTATATCGCCACGTATCGCTTCCATCGCGATAAAGCTGCCACGCTAAACGCAGTCACTTCCTCGAGTAAATACTGCAGTGCAGGTAGAGAAATAGGGGTATGCTATTTAAATAAATTTGACCAATAATATAATAACTTGTAATAAATACTATTACATCATTCAATGGATTAAATAGTATAATTTCCGTACAAATTATATATAGCGAATTTTCTCTCAGTGCATAAGCATAAACAACAGGATGGGGAGTACAGCCTGAGATTGAAACCGAAACTGATGCGTAGTTTAGGGCGATTTACACACAGTTTAAACAGACATCCAGATACAAATCGCAGGTTCTGAGGATGGGGGCTAGTGTTTCAGGTAGGAACTATGGGTTGGGGGCGGCAGGGGGTAGAGCAGCTGGCCATCCAGTCTTCCTGGTGCCATAACTGTAGCAAATGGCCGGCCAACATGCAGGACCCAACCAGTCGCAGACGCAATCTCGGTTCTTGGTTTTCAAGCATCTAGGGCTTAACCTTCTAAATATTTCGGATTTATGTTTAGATTTTAAAATATTAGGATAATTTAGGAAAAATAAATAAAAATAAAAATACATACATGTATATTTTAATATTTAAGAAAATATGATATAATCAGAGAGATCAGTTGGGAATTTGCGATATTTAGGTATATATTTTAGTAAATAGAAGTCTAAGGTAAATAGTATTTTGGTAAAGAGTATAATTAAATGCTCCTTTTAAAAATTATATACACAGATAAATTTATACATATGCTATGCATATATGTCATAATTTAAAGAAAAATACCTTAAATGTGGCATAATATAAAGTCTTTAAAACTCAGCATTTAAAGGGTTAAACCTTTCGAGTCCCCAGTCTGATCCCCACTCGCAGCTCTAAAGATCTCCGGCGTGGGCGTCTGTTGTGGTTATAAATTGCACATTTGATGAGCAGAGAATCGTTTATGGTTCTCCCCGATTTACAGGCTCTATCCGCATCCCTGTGTGCCCCGGCCAGAGTTTCCCAGTCCCCGGAATCTCCTCTGGCTTTTAGCGCTTGCATGCGGCTGATTAATTGTGCCAACGTCATAAACGTGATGATATCGCAATGCAAGCGCATTTTTCATGTTATTCAATTCGTTGCCCCCAGCTCCAGCTCTATAGGTCCGAAGCTCCCAAGCTCCAGTTCCTGCCACAGCTGCAGCACCATGCAGAGAAAAAAACTATAGGGATATATATTACAAAATACGATAAAGACTTGACCGTATTTTTTTGGCAGTGCCTCTTCCGGCTACAATGTATTTGCATAGCGCTATCGAGCGGCAATACGAAAGACTCAAGCAGCGAACTCGCGTGGCAGTACCCCGATATTGCAACTAATTACCAGCATTAACGCAATTTCGTCTTCATAAAGACGCGGTTCCGCATTGCCTCCACCCACTCCACCCCCTGCCATCAGCCGTTCAGATTTAATTCGATTCTTTGCCCAAACACAGTCAGGTGTCTGTGGGGCAGGTGTTTCGGCCAGGAAGCATTCGGCGTGCGATCATTTATTTGAGCGAATTATTTCTCTGCGTTTTTCCTTCCTTCGATTTTAGAAAAACTGCGCAATTTTCACTTATTTTGGTCATAGCTGGTTTGTTGTTTCTGTTGTTATTGCCACCTTTTACGGAATGCTATGGTATTGGATTAAAACAAGTGAGATCACATCGCATTTTATAGGGGCTACGTGTCGGGAATCTATAATTTACATTGATTTCCTTTGATACTATGAGATTTTCTGTTGTTTATTCAGATTATAGAGATATTTTGTAATTATTCTGACTGAATCTTAATGAGTTACCTCATAATTGATGGGAAAAGCAAACCATTTCTATGATATTTTAAGTTCCATTCCCTTTCTTTCACTTTTCACCTGTTTACGAGTTCCATTAGTAAGATCGTTTTTGGCCAGATCAAGTAATTATCGAATGGATTTCCAGGCCGTCAAGCTTTCGATGGATAGTTTCCCGCCCACACACTGCAGAACCGATAGAGCCCCGACAACTTTCGACGCTTGATACTATTTTGCATATACATTTATTTTTCTGAGACATTTATTTAGACACAAATACAAGTTACATATATATCAGTATATAGTTAAATCATGTACGTATAGATACTCGCTATTTATAGGCTATGTAAGCTGGATAATACAACTAAAATGTACAGGCTAAACGACTAAGACAATGCAATTGCGAGCAAATTGTGGGACAAGCTGGGGATTCGGGCTGGGGTGGAGTGTCTTGCTCTGAGCAAACTAATTACTAATTACTTCGATTATGGATCAATTGCATTCAATCAACAGTTTGCACAACATCTAAATTATGAGGAGGAAATTCATTGCATTAATTTATAAATTCATTTTAGCTAGATTTAGTTGCTGGTGCTGCATAATGTGCGTTATGAGCTGCGTTGCATAACGTTCTCTAAATGATTGATATACGGTTGATTGATAATATTGCTTACACTTAGTTACAAGTTTTCCTTTCGATTTCGCTATCCTGTTTACATACAGTATGGTTTTACGGTTAACATATATATCAAGTATCATGTCTCTCTTTAATGGACAACTAATATTTCTCTGACATTTTTTAACATTTGAACGTGAAATTTTTTGACTGAATAGCATAAATGGCTTTTCATCTACATAGAAAATGATTTGCAATAATTATTTAAATTAAACATAAAATTAAAATCACAATTTTATAGACTTGATGTGTGTGTTTGTGTGTATGGTATGTGGCATGTGGGTTTGAGTTTCTCCAATGCTGTGTGTGTGGCAGCGTAGCTCCTTCTTAAATCCATCCATCCATCCATCCAATCATCCAGTAAAAATATTCTCGTCGAATATTTCAGTGGAATTAGTTGTTCGGTTTGTTGTTCGATTTGTTGAGATTTTTTGGGATGCAAAGCGTAATTCTGGGCATAGCAGGGAAAGGCACAATTCAATGTTAATTAAAATTGCTGCTGCAAGCTAAATGGTGAAAGCTGCAACACAGAGATGTACGGAGAGGGAAGAGCCATTAGTTGCCAGTTTGGAAAATTGGTTTAGTTTTGTTGCACGAATTTAATAAGCAAACGAACAAAAAATCATCAAAACGCAGCACGATTTGCATTTTTATTTTTGTATCTTTTTTTGTTTTTTTTTTTTTTGAGTAACTCACCTGCAGGAACACACACAGCGTGCCAAATGTTGTTGTTATTGTTTCGTAGTTATGTTTCTGTTGCTCTTCTTCTTGTTTTTGTTGTTGTGGGGTGTTGTTGTTGTTGTTGTTCTGTTTGTTGTGGGGGTCGATGGCAGCTAGAAACGAGTTGGCAACGAATCATCATCATCATCATTATCATCATCATCGTCGTGCTGCTACTTCCTCGTCATCGTCGTCGTCGTCGTCATCCTCGAGATACAGTGCATCCTACAGATACAGCGTAGCCTGCTGCCGCTGGTCGAAATGATGGATGTAGAGCTTCTTCTTCGACTTCTCCTTCGACGGCCGCAGGTCCCAGACCAAGTTCGAGAGGCTCCGGGGCCGGGACAGGCGGCGGGTCTTCTTCTCCGGCAGCTTGTTCGAGTCGCCGGATGTCCGTCCGCCACTCCGCGACGAGTCCAGGGTGCCCTCGCGCGGATTGTGGTGGTTGTTGCTGCTGGAGCTCCGGCTGTGGGACAGGGGCATGGGCAGGGGATGCGGACTGGACAGGTAGCCGTGCACGTTGAGGATGCTCCCGCACTTGAGCACCACGTCGGGCGGTGTGCCCGGGGTGCCAGGCGCGGCTCCACTTCCTGCGCCGCTCGCTCCACCCGCTACGGATGACTTGCCGTGGGCTGAGATCGTCGGCGGCGTCACCGAGGAGCAGTTGTTGTTGTCCGGCGTCAGTTGCAGGCTGCTGAGGCTCTTGTATCTAATTAGATTAAGGAATTAAGGAGGAGTATGAATTAGTTTACAAAAACATACTCCAACTCCAAGGCTCAAAAGGAAGAGGTCTTGGCCAGAAGCCGCTTACCTTATGTGAAACAGTGGCGATTGCGGCTCCAGCGCCTCCTTGGCCGGCAGATGGTTGTTCGGCGTGAGCACCTTGCCGTGATGGGGATGCGGAAGGGGATGCGGATGCGAGTGCTGATGAGGATGCGGATGCGAGCCGTGATGGGAGTGGGCATGGGCGTGGTTATGGGCTGCTGCCACTGCGGCAGCTGCTGCATTCGCCACCGCGTTCGCAGTATTCCCGTTCGGAGTGGGCGGCTGCTGCTGTGCCTGCTGCTGGCTGTGACTGTGACTGTGGGCATGACTGTGACTATGGCTGTGACTGTGACTCTGACTGTGACTGTGGCTCTGACTGTGACTGTTGCTGTGGGTGGTGCCCGTGGAGTTGCCGTTGCTGCTGCTCCCAGCACTGTGGGCATTCTTGATGTAAAGCTTTGGTAGAGTGGGACGCTGGCGCTTCTCCGCCGGCTTCTTGCCGGGTATGGTCTCGATGGGCGGCGGCACCGGCTTGATGTCCTCCTGAATATGGCCATGATGGTAGTGGTTCACCAGGTGGTGGTGGTGATGGTGCTGCTGCGACGACTGCTGCTGGGGCTGGGTGGCGTGATGGTTGCCGCCGTTGCTGCTGCTGTGCTTGTTGGACTCCAGGCTGCTGTAGTTGTTGTTGTTGTTGCCCGAAGTGGTGGCCTGCTGGTGCACTGGGGCACGGATGAGGCTGCAGTAGTTGCCGCTGCCGCTGTCTGTGTGATGGGACCGTAGCGTGGGCGACTCGCAGATAGGCTCGAAGCGCGCCAGTCCCTTCGAGAGCGGCGTCAGGCCCCGCACATAGTCGTATATATGATCGATCTCGTTATACTCCTCTGCTATTTCGCTGCTGCTCAGGATCTGCTGCTTGGACCACGAGTCGCAGCTGGCACTCTTCCGCAGTACGTAACCACTCTCCGCCAGCCCGCTGGCTACCCCCGCCGCCGACGGCAGCATCACCACCGGCAGCCTGCCATTCCGACTGCTGAACTTGGAGTCCTTTTTCTCCTTCTCGCTCAGCTTGAGATCCACGATCTGCAGCCGATCGCGTGCGTCCGCCAGCAGGCGCTGGGCCTTGTCCAGGAACCGCGTGTACTCGATGAAGTGCTCCAGCTGCTCCATGTTCTTGGCCCGCTGCAGCTTTATCTTCGCGTTCAGCGGCACCGGCACCAGGTCCGTGTCCTTCTGCAGGGGCAGGGCAAAGATCCTGTCGATCTCCACGCACCCCAGCAGCCGGAGCTCTGGGACGAATGGCTGCTTCAGGCCCTTGGGCGCACTCCCATGGACAAGTCTGTTAGGAAGAGTTAGGAAATAGGAATGGTTAGAGGAGGACTTGGGTGTATCTTTCTTAGACTTGTGAGATTTTTGAAGAATAGGTTCTTAAATAAGAAGACGTCAAGACTCACCTCACAATGACTGGCATCCGCTTGAGCAGCAGATTCTTGACGGTGTGCACACCGCTGATGCTGTCCTCCCGGGCGATCGGCGAGAACTTGGCTTTGGTATCGAGTGGCAGATTGATGATCTCGTCCTTGATGTTCCGGCACTGCAGGTACTTCCCATTGTCGTTCATCGTCGTGAGAAGTTCGCCGGCGTGGATGGTGCGGTTCATTTGCTGGCAACGGAACGTCTCCCGGACCAGAACCCGGGCGTTGCGGCGCCTGGACAGCTCCAGCACCGAGTCGATGCATCGCGTGGAGCGGCCATCTTCACTGAGTAGCTCGAAGTAGCCGCCGTAGGTTTCCGGGATGAGCACCTTGGCGCCCACATTGGTGGGCTTGCGACCCTCCTTGATCTTGATCGGCTGGGCCAGGATCTGGTACTTCTTGCCGGCGCTCAGAAACAGGGCCGTGCTCTGGAGCGAGGGGGCCGACAGGGTGGGCACTCCTAGCGCCTGGTGCTGGCCCTTGAGGATCTTGGCCACCGCCGGCAGGGGCTGTTTGGAGAAGTCGCGCAGGTAGACGGGCGTGGAGTCGCCGAAGCGGGAGGCGGCCAGAATGATTTGGCCATCGGTGGCGGCCATGTCGCGGTTAAAGAACGAAAGCAGTTTGCTGCGCGCCAGTTGCACATTAAATGAGAGTAAGTTTCATTGGACTGGCTGCTGCGGCAGATGCTCCCCGCCCACGGCACCCTGATCCGACTCTGGATCCTGCTCTTGCTCCTGTCCCTGGCTGTGCTCCGTCTCCTCCTCTTCCTCCTGCTCCTCGTTCTGCTGGTTGGCGTTGATCTGGTCCTCGAGAGCGCGCCGCTTGGCCAGCTCCCGTTGGCGCAGTCTCAGCAGCTGGGCGCCGCGGCTGCAGCAGGCGTGGGCGATCTCCTCCTCGTGGGCGGTGGCAGGCCGTCCGGCAGGATACAGGTCCTGGTTGCTCTGGTTGTGGTGGCCCTGGTACGTCAGCAGTCGCGTGGATGTCTGCAGCGCGTAGTTGAGATACTGCATTCGGTTCGATTTGGTTTTACCTTCCTGGCCACAGTGTGCGAATGGATTTTTCTATTTTTTCGTCCTTTTTCAGCTTTTGCTTTGCCAAAAGTCGTCCTGAAGCTGAGCTGCTAGTGTCCTCCAGATGACTTACAAGTCCTGCAAAATGCAGAGAAGAGAGAATTAATTAATGTTGGAATTACAAATAAAGGAATAAAAAGCTATTCATTTGTGGGATAAGCTTGCCGAAGTTTGAATTATGGGTTGTACATAGAATGTATAAAGATTTCGCGCATAATAAGCACTAATATCCTTCCAAGTATCTCTATCTCCCACTAACTGCAACTTGTAGTACCAGAACCACTTCGCTTTCAACCCAATGGACATTAGGAAAATGAAATGTTGGCTACAAACTGCACCTCCCTCTTTTCGGCTCAAAGTTGAAATATTCCAGTGTCCGCGGATCAGCTCTTCGAGTTCGCACACTCCGCAGATATATGTATGAATAGTAAGCCATAGAGCCCCGATACACACCGATACAGTGACAGGGTGTTATTTATGAGGGCCATAAAGTAGGAAGACGTCGCTGGCCAAGAAATGGCAAAGTGCACAGAATGAAAATGCAAGCAGCGTGCATATAGAATAGACAGGAGACGACTCTGCGACAATGGCCAGAAACATGCCATTAACAGCGAGGAGGGCCAGGGGCAGCGGCGGGGGAGGACTTGGCCGTGGGCCAACAGCCTGCGGGCCAACAAATGACAAGACATTAAAAGTACTTAAAGGATATTTGCATATTTTATGGCCAAACATAAATGCGGCTGATTACGAGCGACAGTTGGAGTCGGACGTCTGTGAAGTGGGAGGCTAGGAATGGCCTGTAGTGCTGTCGGCCGGAATATTAGGTTCAGGTAAGATAGGGTACATAATGGCTAAAGGTACATAACTCAAAAAGACAAGAACTCCAAGACAAACAGAAGACAAGTGTCTGGAAAGGTTCGACTTGCCGATACTAAAAGTCCAAAAGCTATTCCAAAAACGGGCTTCAAGCTGGCTTTAGGCCAAATAAGAAGCCAATCCAGCATTACCAACGACTACCCATGTAAATAGCCATTTGCATACATGTGCCAGGGGGGAGTCAATGATGGCGGAGAGTGTGTGGGATTCACTTCACTAAATTAGTTGGCAATTAGCAAAGTGACCGCACCTGCCACTCCAGCTGATTCCGAAGGCTAATGCCAGCTGCTCCTGGCCATTGTCCACAGCCTCCTCGGCCCGGAAGAGCATCCATCTCTAATTGCTTTCCTATGCCAATCGGAGCGTGGCTGGAAGTCAGTAGCCGCATCTGAATACCCGGCCCACAACAACAGCCGTTTGGGCCATAAAGAGTCGGGTCGTAAAGCATTTAACGAGTCCTGGGGGGAAGATCCCTACGGGCGGAGAGTGTCGGCCGCCTCCCCCTTAACGGGCCCGAAATAAAATGCATCTGCAGTTATTATTGGGTCATATATATTAGCCCGTAAATTCTGTTGGCCAGCAAAAGGTTATTAAATCTTTTTTAGCCCCGCGGCAAAGGCATGCGAAGATTTAATTGATTTTTTAGTGCAAAACGGAGGAAGAAACTTTTCCGGGATTATAACTGAGGGGCAACTATAGCTGTGCCTTTGGAATTCCTAGATATTTTGGGCCAACAGTAATGTGTTTGGCTTTGTCTAGCAAAACACCTTTGGAGTCGCTTTTGTTTAGGGGATCTGCTTTCCAATTAATTGCCAGACAAAAAGCCAGACTGCAACACGGCCGGCAATTAATTTTCACCATGGAAAGTACCTTTTCCTGGATCAGGAAAGCTCTGGAGGAAGGAGGCCCACTGCTCGCCGCTAGTGCCACTGCCAGTTGCCAATTCTCACGCTCAACGTGGCCGAAAGCCTTTGTAACTTATGTGGAAACGTGACATTTTCTCGGCTACTGGACAAAAATTGATGCCGCCGTCTTGAGTCTTCTCAGCTGAAGCTGGAAAACAGTAAAGCTGGATAGCTGGAGAGGATTGGTCCAGCATCTAGCAACTACAGCAACTGTCTTGTTTCCTGGCCCGTACGTGTCTGGACTTTTTTTCTTGGCTTTGCAGTATTGCTGCCCCTGTTGGCTGCTTTTTGTTGGCCTGTTGGCTCGGATGTCACACAATGACACAGTTTTTCACGTGCGGACCGCTCGTAATTTGTATTTGGCCCCGTCTCGCATTCAAGTTGATCTCATCGAAAATGTCTTAATTAATTTGCGCTGGAAAGTGGCACAAAAGCAGCTGCCCCAAGATCCAGAAAAAAGATCCATGTATGTTTGCACTGAGGCTGAACTGAAGAAGCTGGTGAAAAAAAAAACTTACTTAATTTATGACTGACACGACACAAGATGACTTGGCATGAAGCCACACAAAAGGTTTATGATTTTTTTCCTGTTCAGTTTCGGTTTTTTTCGCTTTTCGTTCGCCGAGTCCTTTTCAACATCCTGTCTGCCTGTTGCTATTTGTTGCTGCTGTTTCCTGCCCATCACCGCGACGCCACGCCCCCGGGGAAAGGAAGCGAGGAGCCAGCGCCCCCGGGGGCCTCAAAAAACACTTGAGCAAATGAAGCCCCCAAAGAGTCAATATGTGCCAGCAAGGGGAGTCGAGAGCTATGTGTGCTTATGAAAAATATGTAACCCAAGACGGAGCTCGAGCACATAATGAGATACAAAAAAACACAAAATAAGGGAAGCCCAAAGCACCGGGGAATGAAACGGAAAGCACCAAGAAAAAAAGGAAAGGCCTGGAATTTTCAAAAATGATGGACTTTAAGATACTCTGTTGGGAGGAACTACAAGCATGGCTAGCTTCTCAGGGTATAAGCTTTAGCTTTAAAATTAAATTCAAACAGGAAAGTATATAGGTTTTTAGAGTTAAAAGATCAACAAGAATCAATAGATTTCCCAGATTTCCTTTCCTAATTTTCGGAGGAAAATAATCCTGAATCCTTCTTGCTACCCTTTGGGCCAAAAGCTGCAGGCGAAACAAGCAGGCAAGTGCGATAAAAGCAACGTCAAAAGGATTAGGGCATTGCAGCTTGCAAAAACACGGGTCTCTGTGTTAGTGTGTATCTGTGTGAGCCCCGAGTATCTGGGTGTGTGAGTGTGAGCAAACAGAACATGTCTGCGTGTGAAGGTGTGGGTGGCTCGCTTTTGTTTGTCCCAACAAAAGCCCAGAACTAGCAGGGATACTAGAAAAAAACGAATAAAAAATAAAATAAAGTCGAAGGGGCAAGGAGCGCAGGAAAAAAGGAAAAGTGTAAGGAACACGACCTGCTTGAAAACCAAAGAGCTCATAAAAGGAAACGCACATATGCACGAGCGTGTGGCACATTAATCACACTAAAGAGTTCTACAAAATGCATCGCAGCTCGCCGCCCGACTCTGGCCAAAAGAGCCAAAGCCAAGAGTTGCTTTACTTGTAGCTGTGCTCCGGCTGGCAGTTGTTGTTGTCACCACTTTAAGCCATGGCTTAAAAATTGTAGCCGTCTCTCGCGGAAAGCGGCTTAAAAAATGGAGCTTAGGCGGCCAAGAATCCGCGTCGTCCGCCAACGCCAACACTTGATGCCACAGTACAGCTTTAAAACAACAACAAAATATAAAAAATGTATGAAGTTTGAATAATTCTTAAGTATATTTTTGTATCTAGAATCTTGTAGATATTTAATCTCAAAAATTAACAGACCATCTAACGAGTGTCTACTGTACTTTTCGAATATAAATGCAATATTCCTGCCTGGCGATGCTTTTTGTGAGCTTCGTTTTCTTTATTTGATTTCATTTTTTCTTTGTGAGGCGCTTTTCCTGTGAAAGAAACACCTTCAGCTCCAGTGCTTCCCCCTACCACCCCTCTGCCTACTTGGTCACCCCCTTCTTGGCCAAGTTCTTCCTCTTCTTATGGCTCTGAGTCGCCTTATTATGTCGTTCTTAGCACTTTTGATTACTTTTTATCCGCTTTGGCCGCGGGTTTCATAGCTCACAGCTTTTTGCTTTCCGTGTTTGCCATCGCCGGCTTATATCCTATCCGACTATATATTCATATATATATATCCTCCCCCCGTGCCTCGTCGCTGTCTGTCCAGCCCACCACTTGGTGTGACTAATGACATTGTGGAGCTCGGACAGCGTTTTCGTTTGTTTAGACCCTCTCAGCCAGATCCACATCCGAATCAGAAAGCGAATTCGAGTCCCCATCTCCGTGGATGTGATGTAAATAAATGAAATAATATTCCTCTGCTGTTGTGTCCCGGCATGAAAAATTAATGCTGACCACTCTTGACTTATTTTTTTGTGGATTATTGTTATCTTTGGATTTTATCCGCTGCGGACAGTTTTGGGCTGGTGCTTTCATTTGTCAAGTGGCCAAGGCTACAGACTTAGAACTCATTTTGCGGCTAATATTATACCAATAAGAGCTCTTACAACGCTATAATATATGCCTTTTTAAAATTATTTAATAAAAAAAAGCAATGGTAGTATTACGTAGTTCCAATTGTCTCAGAAGAGACTCTTCCCTGGAATTAATTTAATTTATCACAATGGAGAGGAAATGGAACCTTGTTGGCCAAGGGAAGTGGAAAAGTCGCTATTTGAAAAGCATTAATCACAAGCATCCATAAAATTCCAAGTGCTTGGCTGGAAAAAAGAAGATAAATGGCAGGTAAATAGATTTCCCCCATCGATGACGGCAATGGAATAAGAACAGAGACCGTCTGGCATGCCAAAAATAGTCAAATGATTAAGCAGTTTGCTTTTGCATTACACATGCCTGCGAAATGCCCTCGAAAGTCGTAAGCCCAGTGAATAAATTCCAGGGTCGAGTCATTCATACAGGAGCCATAAAATCGAAACTCTGGGAGAATACCTATGCGAAACTGGTATGTAAATAGTGCATTGTTTCCCCTAGCCGAGTGACAAATGTGGCTCAATGTAATGTAGTTTTCGTATGGGAAGTGCGTTGTGCGAATAAAGTAATAAGACCTCTAGACAACAGACGAATAGTATAAGCATGTTCCTTCTACGAATTTCAAACAAACATTATGAAGCCAAAATGTATACCTTTTTTCGCTTTGATGGCAAATCGAAGAGACGCGCCCAGTTCCCCGATTCATAATCATCGACAGCGGGGGCAGCCCATCAATATCAAAAGCAATTAAAATGCAAAGCCACAGATGCCGTCTCATAGGGTAGAAATGTGACGTTGATGAGGAGTTGCCCCCGCTGATGATTTTTATTTTATACTGCCTTTTTTTCGTGTGTGTCGTTTTGGATTTTTTTATTGAAATGTCGACATGCTTACTAATCAACGAAACGGTCAGAGAGGGGGAAAGACTCGAAAAGAATCAGTAGAACTTGTCATCCGCTGGTTCTCCTTTATTAATCATGCGCTGAATGCACAATCAAAAGATAGGTATCGTCAATACAAGGGGGTTCTTCCATCATATACACCGGTGTACCTATATGGGTGCCTGGGCACAGGAAATCGAATCCCCAGCATATTTGGTTCGATATTACCGCTCTTTTAATCGTCAAAGAACCGTTGGCTTGGGCCAAGTCGGATACAAAATGCTCATTGAGGCTTCAATGGCCAATGGACTTTAATTTATGCCCTACGAGTGTTTATTGTTCTGTCGACCTGACACTTTTCTTCGGCTTTCGGTTCTGTTCTGTAGTTCTGTATGGCAATGAAAGTTTTCCGTTGGATGGCTTATAAAATATAAAAGGGAAATCCCTTTTTTGGCATCTGATGCAGCTCCACGCCGTTTAGGGCTGGGCTGCGGCTCTTCGTGGGCTTGGCCATCCATCCATCCCGGCCATCCTCTCTATTGACCCAGAAAAATGAAATACAATGAGAAAATGTTGAGCCCGCCTTTTTCTATTTATTTTTTTCGTTTGTTTGTAAGTGAAATTTTTGAGGAAAAAAATAGAAAAATGAATAGACGCTAAACAGTCAAAATGTCTTTCGAAGATAGTTTCCACGCGTTGGCGTTGACTGATGGGAAAAGTCTGGGAAGTCTGAGAAGAGGTCCGAAGAAGGGACACATCTGCATTAAGTTGTCAGTTAATGAAACCGATAATGAATGGGTTAATAGATCTTTCTTAAGAAGGCGAGGCTTCAATGAAGGCCTCTTTACTAATTATGGGGTTACATGCGGTGTTACTTTTTTTAAGGTTTGATAAAGAGAGGATCTATGTATAAATGTAAAGTTTCAAGTGAAGAATTTTACTGTTTATCATACAGTACCTTTTATTGGAAAATAGTATTAAATACACTAATTTAACACTTATATTAAATAGGGTAGGCTTTAATGAAAACATCTTTACTAATTGAGTGATATTATCGAGGTAAGCAGAAAACCTTTTGTAAAGGAGACGAGCTATAAACGACTATTTTTAAAATAGTATTTTGAAACAAGGAACATAACTCAGTATATTGAGATATCAGATTATCAGATAATAAGTATTTTTTGCTTTTTTTTCTTGAAACAAACACTATTGAAATAATTGAAATATTTTATTTAAATTATTTATCCAATTTCTCTAATTTTCTTTAGCGATATTCTACAACAATATTATAAAATAAACAATTCAAATATTTCAGGTTATCATGATTCATGAATTTGCATAATTGATTAAAAGAAATGATTTTATTTATTAGTTGGTCAATAAATTGGTGTATAAACGTTTTCCCACAATCAAGGGCCTTTGAAATGCCCAGTTCCAATACCTTGATTCTCCAGTCCCCCGATCTGACCTCAATTCCGAGCCCTTAATTCGATTACATCTCCCACAAAACCAAATCTAATTTAGCGATCAGAAATGTGACATTCAATGGGAAACTGATTTCCGAGCTGGCCCAACCAACTGGCCAAAAACAAAATTACAAAAACACTTTATTAATATCCGATATTTAACCCAATTTCTAGAGCATGACGCTAATTGTATTTTAAATATTATGGTCAGCAAACACACACACGATGGATGGCTCACCTCTGGCTCCAAAAACGGGCGAAAAGAAGAAGAAATCCGACAGAAATCCACAATTTGCCGTTAAATTTAACAAATACAAAAATGTACACTTCCCAGTTGTGGTTGTTTTTGTTGTTGTTGTTGTTAATGGTTTTGGAAATTCGAATCAATTAACACGCACACACAAAAAGCAAAACTCTTTTCTATTTGCTCCTCAAACACTTTGTATTCTTATCTCTTTCCCTTGATGGCTCAGAGTAGCAACGTAAGTATTTCGTAATATCGGGGCAACTGGGGAAATTTCTATTTTTTTTGCACAAAGAACCTTTTTTTACTTTCACACTGTGACGAAACGCGATACGTATTTCTTCTCCATTTGCCAATTTGCATAAAAAACGAAACGAATTTCAGAGCTGGACGATCAAAGCCGCGCAGCATCAGCTCAGCAGCAGGCAGCCTAAGAAATATCTCGCGTGGGACGTTGCGCACGCGCACAGATCTAAGCTCGCTCGTGTTGTTGTCTGGGGCTTGTAATATGTATCGGATATATTATTCTATTGGATCGCGTAAGAGAGAAACCGAACCGGTCGGAGCGACGAGCTCCAAGCTAATGAAAAGTAGGGTTCTTGATGATATCCAACTTTTGTATTTCACATTTTGGGCGGTTTTTTTTCGAGTGTTTCGTGGTTTGTTCGTGCCTTCGGCTCGCATCGAACCTGTTCTGAGCCGAACTTAAGTGGCCAGAACCCCGCTTAAGCCAACATGTCGAATCTGCCGCAGTCGGCTTCGCTGTTAAGTAACAGGCCTCTGTTAAACCGGTTCACTGTGTGTGTGAGGCTTGTGTGTTTTTTGTTAAATCCATTTTTTGTCCACCTCCCGCTCTGGTTGGGGCTCTAATTTCTAAGCAAATGCTAAAAGATTCGTTTTTTGTTGGGATTCTACGAGAGATTCCCTAAGATAAACAACAAACAGTTGTTTAATAGTTTTCTTTGAATTTTGAGCATTTTTACGATGCCACTACGGGCGAGCGTTTGATTTGTTTGCTGAGAAAGGCGACTCTGCGTTTGTTAGCAGGTATTTAAGTTTCATTAACATTTCGCCCCTCGGAGGACAGTAGACGGAGGACTGAGGACGGAGGGCCGAAGAAAGGTCTGTGTCACCTTTATTCGGTGGCATCGTTATATTTTGTCGCTGCTTCTTTGTGCGTGTGAATTTTTTATGGTTCATTAAAATTAAAAGCAGAGTTTCTTCCCCTTCGTAGTTTATTTATAGCGGCAGATTGGCATTTAGAATGGGGAGGGGCAAATGGGGCGACTGGCCCGCTGGAAGACTGAAAGACTGTGGGAGACGAATTTGATTCTTGGTCCGAATCTTAGTCGCAAGGCAATGAACTCACTGGGCTTAAACCATTGGGCATCGCGATTTGCGTTGCAGGCCTTACGGCCTTAAGGCCTGGAGATTTCCGCGAGAGAAAGAGGCAGCAGAAACTGTCACAGGTATGATTTACGACAAGTAAACTTTAGAATATTCAATCACATAACACACATACACTCACTGACACACACTTCGTCGCGGACATGAAAACCTTTCAAAATGCCGCAAGGCCAAAGCCATCAAAAGACCCATAAAAAAAGGCAAAGCATGAAATATGAGCACAAATTATGAACAGACATCACGTCAAAGGATTAACAAGACCGAAAAGTCTGAAATGCTGAAATCTTGCAGATTTCAAGGAAGTCAGTCCGTCACTCCGCCAGTCTGCGGTCAATTTCTTCAGCTGCTTCTTCTTCATTCTCGAAGCGATAAAAATCTAACAAAGTTTCTCGTATACTATATGGTACGGCATGTATATGGTTGAGTTCTCAGCCGGGCGCGTTAAATGGTCAACACCCATTTTTGAGCAAAGGGCCTTTGAAGTCTGTGTTTAAAATGCAGATTATGTGCGTTGATTAAATATTGTTTTTTAATTTCTCTTCCTTCTGCCTCTGAGCTGTCTAAAATTAAAAATGCACAGGCGTGGGGAGAAATGCATAGGAAAAGATTTGATTTTTTACTGGCTGCCAGTATTTGTTGGATTGCATATGCCGACCACGTTGGCCTGCATAATAAAATGAAAACACACACTTACTTTATGTAGGGAGAATGAAAATTTCAAACAATAATGGTAAGGGAAGACGGGAAAATTCTGAAAGGCGTGGCCAGAAAGACAGCCAACACACATGCGTCGCTTATCAGCGCAAGTTCGTTGCCTGAGTCTTTCGTTTTGTGGGCCTTATCAGCTCTGTGGAAATCGCTTGGAACGAACGGTAAAAGGGATTTATCAGGAAACTGCTGATGCTGCTGCTGCAGATTTGCATAACACATACTGGGATGGGGATCGGACAGAAAAATAAATCTCTCCGGATTTTGTTCGCCTTTGTGCGTGCGCCAATTCGGAACACTTAAAAAAAACTTTGAATTTGAAACCTTTGAATGTTCTCGTGTACAAAGATTTTCTGAAACAGAGTTTCTTGCAGTGCAGACAACCCACACAGTCCTGATCATCTCGGAACCACTCTGCTCCCCACTCGCTCATGCAAATGAAGCAATCTAAAATTAGCTGCAACTTTTGTTAGGCTTCAGTGACTCTGCTTGCACTTTTTGTCGTTGCCTTGTTATTTTTTTGTTGTCTTATTTCAGTTTTTTTTTATACACATACTCTTTTTATTTCATTTTTGAGCGTTTTTTTCTTGCCGCTGCCTTTCTTTGGAAAGCTTGTCCGCCCGTTGATTGATTGCCGCTGCAGATGCGGGCTGGGTCTTCCCTGAATGGCGACTCCGGGATCTGGAGTCCGTAGCCTCCACTGCGGGCTTAACCTTTGTGCACTCTCTTCCTACTTCGTCTCGTTCTCTTCGCCCCCCTGTTCCAGTCGGACTCCATCTTTGCTTTACATTTGACTGCGGCTTGGCCTCAGCTCTTTGATTTTTACGCTTAATTTGGCTTTGATTGATGTTTTAGAGTTTGATTCGTACGAAAAGTTAGTTGGAGCGGCGGTTCACTGAACCTGCCAACTGCACTGGTCAAGCGAGGGGGGTTTTAAAAATTCTTATTGCCTATAACCGAATATATTTATGATGAAAAACAATTTTATGTGGTTTAAATGATTTATTTATTTAGGCTTTTCTTTGATTTTTTTCGAAAGAAAAATAAAAGTTGATATTTTAAATCAAAACTTTTAAATCCAACCTCGCTCTGCCCTCTATTTTCATAACTCATACGAAAGCTCCCCTGATGGCTGACAAGTCAACTTGCATTCTTTGGCTTCCTATCTCCATCGACACATCAGCCACTACCTGTGGAGGTAGAAACCACCGCACCACCAGACATATAAATAAGACACATTCATCAACCAAACAGCTGACCCACTTTGCTGCTGGAACTGTTGACTGCCCTTTTGTGATTTGGACACAGGTTGGAAAGCAATTAATTACATTACAACGTGGCCACCAGCAGCACCACTGCTGCCCCTGCCACCAATACCAGGAATACCAACACCACCACTGCCATTTCGGCCAAAACAACAACAGGCACTTTGAAAATTGTTAACAGCTGAAAAGGCGGCGTCAATCAATCAGCAAACATTTTGCCAGTCAATGGCCTCAGTCGGAGTCAAAAGCAAAATATATAGATGGGTGTACGTGGAGGTTCTATGCTGGGAGCAGGAATCGGAATCCCGACTTCACGCTCCGAGTGCCATTATCATTATTTATTTGGTGCGACAATCGTTTCGCCACCAATTAGGGCGAGAAACGCGAACATTTTTCATTCTCTACGGCAGCGCAGGAATGGCGGAAAGTTGCCAATTTGGCTTTCGTTTTCGGTTCACTTATGGCCATGTTCTGAGGCGACTTTCGGTTCTATGCACGTTAGATACAGTAAGCAATAGCTAAAGGAGAATGGATCTTCCTTTCATTTCATAGAGTTTTTAGGAAATCATTTTAAAGAGAAGGAGTTTCTTAAAATTGAAAATAAACTTTGTGCTTTTATTTGAGGCCTTTCATTTGAGTGATGCCTGTGGTTCTCCATTTCTATTTCCGCGCCTTAATGGGGCTGCAAGTTCAAATGGCTGCAAACTGAAACTGGCTAAAACAATGCCCTGTTATGGATCCGCTTAACAAGGATGATGGCTTCCAGCCAGCGGCAGTAAAGTCAACCGGCAGAGAGGCGGTGGATTCCATATTCAAATGCGAGCAAACATGCACAGCATCCGCACAGCATCCTGCAGCACCAAAAACCAAGGGCAGCTCCGCCAAATTCGACAAGAAAACAAAAAGAAAACTCCGCGAAACAGGAAAAAAATATAGCAAAAAAAAGAGAGACACGGGCGAAGAAACGACTTTCGGCATCACGTTTCACGAATTCGCAGCAGAACACGGCTCCGACTTCTGGCACATTAAAAGAAAACAAAAGCAGTGAAACACCCAGGCTAAAAACACAAAAAAGGGGCAACAACAAAGCCCCAAACCACACACAAAAAGATTGAAATAAGCCTGGCTTAGAGCCGGAGCAATAAGTAAAAGTTGGAGAACTGGCGAAGAAGCTGCTGCAGCTCCAGAAGCAATCTTTGTAATGTATGCTCCTCCTGGATGCGATTCATTGTTCGACTCCTCCGCTTCCGCCACCGCCCACACTTTTCTTGGTAGGCATAGTATATATATATAGATTTATATATATTTCCCCCGCTTTCATGATCGGCGGTTCTGCACGCGCTCACGTTTGGGAGCATCGGGAGCAGCGCAGTATTGAAAGAAAATTGCAAATAGAGGAAAATAAATCCAAGACTTGGTAAGAACCTTTAGTGACTGGCTAATGCTCTGGAAAATTGATTGAACTCAGTATGAAAAATTTGAAAAATAAAACTATTTGTATTTTTGAAAAAAATAATAATTTGATGACAAAAAACCAATTTTTAAACAATTTTAATTCAAATTGGAGAATATATGAGTTTTAAACAAAACGAATTTATAATAAAATTTACAAGAATATCTCCTATCTAAGAAGTTTGAATTTATTCCCTTTTTTTTATAAATATGTAATGTTTAAAATATTCAATTCTATTTTCCAACCTGCCCTGTAAAAATCGTACAAATTCCCAAAAGTATCAGAATCGGAAAATGCAATCAATTGAAACTTTGTATATAAATCCCATTGCAGGGCATTCAGCCAAGCAACCAATGCTCATGCATTTTCCTTTTTAATTTCTCCAACGGATAAAGTGAAAATTCCCCAGTCTGTTCTTGCGACTTTCCCCCGGAAAGCCTCTCATACCCGGGGCCAGCCCCCTTTCTCCCATTTCCCTGGCTCGGTGGGTTCACTTTTTCGTCGCCTCCAATTGACATTTGGGCAGTCATGCACTTCCTTTTCCTTTTTGCTAATTTATCGCAAGCATATGTGTGTGTGTGTGAGTGTGTGTGTTAGCCTTCTTTAAGCCTTCGACGGTGCTTCTTCTTTCAGTGAGGCTGCAGCTATAGAGCTACCGAGTGCAACTGCAGTTGCATTCTTATCGAAACCGCACAATCAGCAAAACGGGAGGGGAAAAAAGGGAAAAAGCCAATCACTGGTAATGATGAC